AGAATGATAGAAGGTCCAAATCAACCAATAAGAAAGCCATAATAAGCTCAGTGGTATGTGTAGATTTTATTTTCTGGTTTAATAAATTGTGAGTGTATAAAGAATGGATGGAGATCTTTTCAATTTCTTTTGTTTCTATGGCTTGTTCATGAACATCTTTTTTTCTTTTTCTTTTTTTTCTTTGCAGAAGAAAATTGGGCTTGTTTCAAAGCTCGTATCCTCTTTTTGGAAGCGAAAATGAGTGATATCAGAAAATTGAGCTGCTTTTCATGAAGTGGAAGATGCACTACAAGCTCTAGAAAATCAACTCAAACTATTATTCCTGTTCTTATTCTTGGCGCTTTTTTCTTTGGAATAGTGTTCTTATTCTTATTGTTGTTTGTTTGTGTTTACAAATGGAGATTAGAGAAGGATACTTATGAATATAGGATAAGATCCCTAGAGAAGGGCCGTACTGGTCTAGCTTTTTCGATTGTTCCTAATCAATAGAATTAGAGTCCCCATATGTTTCCCAGGATCACATGTACGAATCGTATTAATTTATTGTACGACATATACACAATGAGCTTAACCTTCACACTGTTATCCTGTTAGAATTAACAAGTGGGTTGTTCTCCAAGATGTATGTTAAAAGAGCAGTGGATTAACACTCTTGAGATCCATCTATGACCAGCACAGTAAAACTGATATATAGAGCAATCCCATGCATGAGCATTTTTTAATGACGCATCTGATCATCCTATAGATGATGGATGGTCGATATGTGAAATCTATTGTTTATAATGCCACGAATTATTTTCACAAGAATTTTCACATAAAGGAATAGCTCTTTTAGCTGCTCAGATCCTCCAGAGAAGGGTTGAAGGCCTTGTTCAACTGGGGGAGCGGGCTCGGACTAGGCTGAACTTGGCCCAAACCCAACCTTAATTATTTTAAGCTAGGCCTGGGCCTGGCCTGCTCCTACTCCAATACTGCGGCACACCATGGAATGCTTTCAAAATTTAGGGCCCATTTAGACTTCCCTTAAAAAGGGGGACAGCAATGTCCTTTACAATAGTTGTACCCCATTGAGTGATGCACTAGTTGGGTATGCTGCAATTCATGTGAACAAGGCATACAAAACAACCCTACTTATTGGCCAAACATTTACAAATAGATATCAGAAAAATAAAATAGTTTTTGCGCATTTATAAATGTTGTGTACTTATATCAGCTTAATCGAGGTTTGAAAGTGCATGGGAGAAATTGGTATATTCTAGTTGACCAAGTTGTTCCACAACATTTTGAAAACAAAAAAAATGTCAAACAAATGGAGAAAACATATTGCAGTATTTATTTACAAAAACAAAGTAGATATACAATTTTACGAACTATCAAAAATCAATTTGGTTTTATACCAGGGAAGTCAACAGTTGAAGCTATTTTCGTACTTAAGAAATTGATTTAGAAGTTTAGGAGAAGATCAAGGACCTCCAATTGGTCTTTATTGATTTAAAAAAAGCATATGATATGGTACCTAGAAAGTCAATTTGTTGGGTGTTGGAAACAAATGGAGTCACTAAAGTTATGTTGATGTGGTGAGAGATATGTACGAAGAAACGCTAACTTGTGTAAGGATAACTAATGGAAAGACAAGTGAGTTTTCAATAAAGGTAGGCCGATATCACAGGTCAGCATTAAGCCCATATATTTGTGTTTTGGTTATGGACGAGTTAACTCGATATCTACAAAATGAGATACCGTAATGTACGTTACTTGCGAGTAACATTACTTTCATTGATGAGACTAGAGGCAGCATCAAACCAAAGGTCTAACTTTGGAGGGATGCTCTAGAATCTAAAGGTTTTTAAATTAGCCAAACTAAGGCAGAATGCATATAATGGAAGTTTTGTAATAACAAGAGTAGAAACAAGGAATTAGTTAATACTAAAAGCCAAAAAGTCTCTAAAATGTTATTTTCTATATCTCAAGTCAATTATCCATGAGAAATGGAGAGATTTATGAAGATGTCACGCTTAGAATTGAAGTTGGGTGGATAACTTGGAGATGTGCATCTGAGGTTCATGTAGTCATCACATACCAATGAAATTCAAGGCTAAAATTCTATATTACGGTTGTTTGACAGATCATGTGTTAAAGGGCAAAATGTTCGACGGTCAATAAAGAACATATCTATAGAGTGAGTGTAACTAAGATGAGGACATCAGGATGGATGAGTGGTAAAACAAGAAAGGATAGAATTCAAATGAAATAATTCAAAATGAACACATCAGAAGGAAATTAGAAGTGGTTTTAATAAGCAATAAGATGAGGGAAAATAGACTTAGGCAGTCTAGCCATATGCAATGTCAACTTGAAAAAGGAATGTCCAAAAAAACCTAGACGGAAGTAGTGAGAAGATATATAATGACTTATGGTCTAACTAAAAATATGGCCCTTGAAAAAGTAGAATGGTAGTATAAGATACATATGACCGATCCCAAATATTTGGTATAAACTGCCCTCAATAGGACTATAAATTACAATGTCACTTTTCGCTACTACCATCTATTTCCTTTTAAGTCTTCTTAAAAGTTCATGTAAAGTGTCAACCTTATATAGTGTTAACATTATATTATAGAAAGCACACCTCAATAATCTATTGAAATTTTCATTTTTGATGTTGGAAAACCCTCAATTGATCATCTCGATCTCGAGATGACCAATTTGTTGAGTTTTAAATTTAAATAAAAATAGACGTTCAGGCCATCTCAAGAATTCCATACATCAAAATTACATCTTCTGACAAATTTGGAAGTGTCTATTATTTTGATTGTTTTAGGTTGAGACCTTATATATATATAAAAAAAGTTTGTATAAGGTTTAACCGTATACCGTAAAACTAAGGCATGCCTCAAAAACGATCAAAAAAAGTTGTTTTGACACCGAAAAGCCCTCCGATCGATCATTTCAACCTCAAAATGTATGGGTATAATGTATGGGTATGAAAATAAAAAATTTCAAAATAATACATCTTGTAAAATAATTTGAGATGAAAATTAATTTCCAAGCCATTTTAAAAAATTTCCAACAAAATATCTTCTGACAAGGTCTAGAGGCGTGCCTTCTTTGATTGCTTAATGTTGGCATCACATGCAAAATATGAGCATGTGTTTGCACACACTTCTATGCACCATGGCTTATATAAATTATTCTTTTATCTTTAAATTTCTCACTCTATTATATATCTAATTCCATCCCAAAAGCAAGAAGAAAAACAAAGGAGCTAGTTTTCATCTGTTAATGGACCTAAACAGTTTGTTTCTTTTAAAAAACAGCGATCCAAATCAGAACGTACCGATCCGAATCGGGAACCAGTCGGACCATCCCACATCCTACAAAATATCCAAAAGTCCCCTCTATGAACCGGCCGATTCTAGTTTTGTCACCAGAACCAGCCCCACTTATTTTTTTAATTTCTTTGTTTGTTTTTAAAAAAACATTATTGGCCACTCGGCCAGATCGCCGATGCAGACTACCGATCCACCGAATCAAACTGGTTTTCTGGATGCGCTAGTTTTTAAACCGTGGGTTATGGGAGAGCTCACACAAGATGGATTACCAGAACTGCTTGTTCATGTATGAGTCCTCAAAGACAAATTAGTAAGTGATAAAATTGGTCATGTATGCCATCAGGCATCATCTGTTTCATAGCTTCATAGAGTCCAGTGACAAAATTTGAGAAGTAAGAAGTCTAAGACGACAAGCACTAATTTCAATTTCCAAGAAATAGCAACAATGCTCTCGAAAATCCTTTCAAGATCTAAATACCACCTTGCTCAGAAATAATTCACAAACCTTGTATATCAATCAGCATAAGGGCAATATAGTGAAGAGTAAGTACTAGAAAAGAAATCGAGGCATTGAATTCCAAAAACATTCCAATTCCAAGAACACTTGCACTGTATATAAATGATGTCGCCTACAGTCCAACCGAATACATCATAAAACAAATCTCCTCCAGGGCATCTGACCGACACAGCTCCATCTTCGAACCAGGAGCTCCGAAAACAGGCACAGACACAACCTCTCATTTACTCTCTAAGACAATCTCAGGCTAATAAATTTAGTGGAAAAGGTTACACCAAAAGGAAAAGACAATAAAAAGAAACCTCTCCACAAATAGAACAACGGAACTAGAAGCACGGAAAAGAAGAAACCTCTCAATAAACAGTAAACAGGGAAAGGGACCGGACCAAAATCGGAAACCCTATAGGGAAAACGACACAATGTTTGTGATGTTGGGTGCAGCGTAAGAAGCCACACGAAACAATTCCCAATTGTTCTTGAAAAGCCATGTGCCCCAACTCTTGGGCCGTTTCTCATTCTATCCTCTGTATGTAACAAAACTACGAGATGACTGGGTTGGGCATGTAATCGGCTAAAGACATAGGGTGCTACATGAACCCTCGTATCAAACTCCCTTAGACACTAAAAATCCGACAAGCCATATCAATAGTTTACGGATGCCCTTGTTGCACGAACCCAAAGTTGCAAAACAGAAAGAATGAATCTCTCTCTCTCTCTCTCTCTC